TTTTTCGAGACAGGGTTTCTCTGTGGCTTTGGAGCCTGTCCTGGAACTAGCTCTGTAGACGAGGCTGGTCTCGAACTCACAGAGATCCGCCTGCCTCTGCCTCACGAGTGCTGGGATTACCAATGACTAAGATATATCTGCCTCCAGGGAGTCTCCAGTGAGTGGAAAATGGAGCTCCATTACAGTCAGCAAACAAAGAGCGCAGCAGGCGTTATAGAGAGTGGCTAGGGAAGGCTTGTCAGAGGAGGGGCTGCCCACAGTGAGAAGAGCAAATTGAGAACCCCAGCAACTCCACGGGATTGGAGCACCCAGAACCACAAGGAGGAAAAGGCTGCTGGGTAGGAAGCAGCCTGGGCGAGTCAGTTGGGGAACTTGAACTTTATCTGGCAGAACAAATGGTAGGGTTTCTGCAGGATCTAGAAAGAGGTCGGGTTTATCAAGGTAAGGTTTACATTTCCCACAGTTCACTGCGGGGTGGATATGAGATGCAGAGATTGCTGGATGAATAGTTGTGTTCCAGAGACAGAAATGGGCAGATTAGATAAACGGGATGCTTGGTTATTCTGGTGCACTGGGGGAGGGGGGAGGGAAGCTGAGACTCCCTTTTCTGATGGAAAGGTGAGTTTACAGCGTCTAACTTCTTTGGCCCAACACTTGGGAGGCAGAGGCCAGCATGGTCTACATAGTGAGTTTCAGGACAGCCAGGGCTACATAGTGAGACCCTGTCTCAACAATGTTTCCCCACCAAAAAAGAAAAAAAAAATAAATGGTACTATTATCCCAGGAAGGAGGGGGACACGATTTTAAGGGAGAATTTATCTGGAGAAAGCCATCAAGCAGATGGCTGAGGGAAAGGACTGAAGGACTTAATATATTTGCTGGTGGCAGGTCCAACTTGGAGCTTGTGAGAGTCTGCACAGTGGGTCATCAGGCCCCCAAACCTACCCACAAGCCTAGACCAAGTCTGAGAGGGCACGCGCCGGCAGGGTGGCTAGCGAAGGTTCAGTGCACCAGGGGGCGCACTCGAGCTGAAGGAAGCAGAGCCAACCTTGGGCGGGGGAACGACACACGACTCATAGCCCTTTAAAGCAAGCCAGCTCTTGAAGTATGGAGAATCTGAGGGACACCGAGTGTTTCCCGAGGGTAGGCTAGTCTCTGATCAGGGAGACACGGGGTAACAGTTAAACCTCTCGAGCCGATGCTCCATCTCCCGTACCGGCAGGTCCTCAGGGCAGTTCCGTTCTGGTGAGGACCCAGAAAGGATGGATGGAGCCCTCTGGACCCCATAGCGTTCTCTAAAGTCAGACTTACACTAGCTGCTTGGAGTTGCCCACGGCACGAGGGACGGGAGAATGACTGTGTCAGCCACATGAAAGAGACCTTTGGGATAGGGGAAAGAAGGCAGGGCGCACCAAGGTGACCGGTCTGAACACTGGTCTCCGAGGGCACCGAGAAAAACAGGCACCGGATGGGAAAGGTGGCGTGTGGATGGATAACCGGGGACGTCTTGGACCTAAAACCTAACTACAGATCTTTAAGAGACACCGATTTTGGACCAGGCAGGAGGCACCTGAGGACAAGGAGCTGGTGAATCAGGAGATCTAACAGGGATGCATTACACGACGTCAGGGCCTGCCTGGTTCGGGGGATTCCGACACCCCTAGACGGCTCCAGGATAGAACAATTGGGGCAAAGCAGCGAGGAACCCGGACACAAAGCCCGAGGAGCGGGCCGGGAAGCGCAGCACGAAAGGGCAGCAATGGTTCGCTGAGCTGGAGCATCCGGCCGTGATTCTCTCCGGGTGTGGACGGGGGTCTACACTGCGGGCCAGCGATATGGTGCTGGAGCCCAGCTCAGTATGGACCAAGACTCCCTGAAACGCTGACGCAGGGATTTGACCGGGGAGAAGACTCCGAGCAGGGCGTGGGGCGATGCCCGCGGGGGCTCCGGGTCGAGGGGCACTACAGTTTCACTGGGTAGAGCCGGGCCTGCCCAAGCCGCCCCCCAGCCCCCCCATTCCTCTTGTTTGTCTCCAAGTCCGGCCGGAACCGGCTTCTGCTCGCCGGGGGGCGGGCGGGTAGCTGCTGATTGGTCAAGGCCTGTTTCCAGCCCCATTCAGCCAATCAACGGGCAGCAGTGTTTTTCATCTTAGGGTAGGAATAAAAGGGCTGGAAATAAAGGGGACAGAAAAGGCGCCGGGCGGGCCCGATACACACCGGTAGGAGCCGGGTGAGCTCGACTCCCGAAATCCGGGCCCCAGGCGAGGGTACGGGAAGCTGAAGCTGCTCACAGGCGGGGTTGGAAGAAAGGTGCATGCTTGCCAGGGAGAAGACACCGGGCGGGAGATGGAACAAAAAGGGAGAGTAGGAGGATGGAGGGGCGGGATCTGCTTCTATGGAAACGGGCTAATTGCTGGGGTGACAACCCGGCCCGGGGGTCGCGCGGTTGGCTCGCGCCGCCGGTTTGAACCGGCTTCGCCTCTCCCATGCGGGATTCGCGTGGCGGTAGCGCCTAGCGACCTAGACACTGGCCAATGGTGCAGCAGTTCCTGTGCGGTTCCACCAATGAATGCACCGTGGGCGGGCCGTTCCGGAGCTCCCTGCGCTGATCTTGTGGTTGAAGGAACTAGCTCTGGGGAAGGGTCTTGAGTGCGGGCGGGCGGAAGCCTGTCAGGGTCCTTGGGAGTGGCAGCTCTCAGGTGTGCCTCGGCTCAGGTGGCCCCTACGGCAAACTGCCTCCTTTAACGGCCCCCTTACCAGCTATTCAATCTTGCTTGGGGCCAGGGCCAGCTCCACGTCCTTGAGCATGCATTATTAGTCCCTTGCCACCTGCCATGCCTCAGTTTACCTCCGAGTGAACTGAGTGAGAAGCCTCTCCACTTGGCCCGCAGGGCCCCACCGTGGCCGAAGGTAGCGGTGCCAGCTAGTCGCGGGTTCGGGATGGCTCAGGTCCCGAACGGGTCTGGGGTTCGCTTCTTTTGAGGCGTGCACCTACAGCCTGGGCTGCTGGGGGTTGACAGTGTGGTCGCTGTGCGCCAGCGTCCACACGGGTTGGGTAGGGCCACCGCTGAAGCTGAGGTCTGTGCGCAGGTGTCTGTCTGCAGAGCCAGAGCCGGGCTACAGCCGCCACACCGCACCATGGCGCCCACCCTGGCCACTGCCCATCGGCGCCGCTGGTGGATGGCCTGCACGGCTGTGTTGGAAAACCTCCTCTTCTCTGCAGTCCTCCTGGGCTGGGGCTCGCTGCTCATCATGCTCAAGTCGGAGGGCTTTTACTCCTACCTGTGTACGAAGCCAGGTGAGAAGTATGCCTCGGTCAGGGGCAGGTTCCTAGAGTGGGGCTTTGGGAGAGGGAGGGTGGAGATGAACATCTAAGCAATGCTTGCTTGCTGCACAGAGCCTCCTAGTGCCAAAAGGCCCATTTGATCCTCATCCAACTCTCGGGGTTATCATCGTCCCCATTTGTGGGTGGAGAAACTGAGGCTGGGATCAGTCTTTCATTTGCCCAAGCTGCAGACTAGTAGACTTGGGACCCCTGCGTGCGATCAGGAATATTGCTGGCCTCCTGGCCTCCTAGGCCCTGCAGCATCGCTTGCCTTGCAGTTAAACGTGTGTAAGAAAGAGGAACTCGATTCACAGGCCGGAGTGCAGCAAGAGAGAGGAAGTGGCTTCGCCTCCACCCGAAGGAAGGCTCATCTAGATATATATGTTTTTTTTTTTTTTTTTAAGTCAGGCCGTTATGGAGTCTCCTAAAGGCTTGCCAAGATATAATTTCTTGTCTGTTTTTGCTGCTTTATGATTCTCCAAAGGCCATTTCCTCTCCTGAACTGTGAGAACATCTCAGTGGCTTCCAAACTTAGTAGGAAGGAAGAGGAAGGGGACGAGCGAGGGAAAGGACGTTCTGAAGGCAGGCTGAGGGTGGCTCTCGACGCCCCCCAGCCCATCCCTTCCACTGTCTTCCCACCCCGAGGGCTGCAGCTGAGCAGGGTCAGTCATCGGTGGGGCCCAGTCAGCTCCCAACCTCTCGTCACTTTCCTAGGCATCCTTGGTCAGACCTCCTGCCTTTGCCGCGCCCCACCCGGTACTTCAGCCCTCTCTGATGGTGGCCCAGATTTGAGTCCTTAGGTTACTGCTAGTGTGCCCTTTTCTTTCTAGAGCCCTTTAGTTTACTTTTTGACTTTTAATTGTCTTCTTGCATTTATTCGTTTGGGGGATGGGGCAGAGCACTGTGTGGAAATCCAGAGGATGACGTCTGCTTGGCTGTTCCAGCACGTGAGCTCAAGGAGGTAGAACTCAGGCAGACAGACCTGAGTGTCACCTCAACAGCTGTTTGTTTTTTTATTTCTTTTGGTTTTTAAAGACAGTTTCTGTGTGAACTAACACCCAGCCCTAAAGTGGTTTTTTTTTTGTTGTTTGTTTGTCTTTGTTTTTGACAGGCTCTTGCTGTGTAGCCCAGTCTAGCTTTTAATTTGTAATCCTTACATCTCTTTCTCTGAATGCTGAGATTATAGTCTATTCTACTTCACCCAGCCTCTCATTCTGAGCAGGAAGAGAAAGCTTTGGACCCGCTCCCGCTGCCCGTAACTCTGAGTCAGTCTTCATTTTCCTTCTCTGATCTGCTCAGTGGATCCTCAGGGCACAGAGCTTAGCAGGAGAGGGTAAGGGCCAGAGAAAGGGAGGGAATTCAGAGGGCACCTGGAAGAGGGCAGAAAGTCTATCGTTTATATCCAACCTTTAGCCTTTAGCACTCAGAAATATTTCCTAATAGCCAAAGGGTTCTTGGCAGGTCTTTCCCCACATCAGCAAGAAATCTTGAGATGAGAGTCAGACCTTGTTCCCTGACCAAGCTTCTGTTCTGCTTATGAGATGTTAGGAAATTAATGGCCCCGGGGAGATGGGGGAGGGACAGGGACGGGGACTGGAACAGGTAGAGGTGTATGGCTTTTTCTCCCTTTGTTGCAGGGTGCACTGGGCGTTTAAAAGCAGAAGGAAAAAAATCTTGATTCCCAGACAAATCTTCAGTATCTCATCCAGACCAGATGACTAGTGTGGGCAGACTTTTCTTTCCTTTCCTTTCTTCTTTGACATGTGGTGTTGGGGAAGTCAGATTGTCTGCTTCCACAATTTCTTAGATGGTATGGGCACTGTGGGGCTGGAAACTGCTTTCCTGACGAAACCGTCTTCCTTCCAGCGGCTGTGCGAGCATAGTGCTGAGTCAGTCTTTAAGCAGCCGAGAGATTGACAGGTCAGGTCGCTCCTACAAACCCAAGGGAAGGGGAAGGGTTAGGACAGTGGGTTGAACATCAACTTCTTATCCCATGCCTCTGCTCCTCTGTCTGATTTTGGTTTTTCTGATTATCTGGCAAACCCGCTGAGCTAGCATCCTCAGCTGGAAAGTCTGCTGACTCCACACAGCTTATCTCTCCAGCCTCCTTGCTTCTTGGAGTCCGGGTAACCTGTTGACTTTTGGGACCAGAAGCTTCCGTGCTTGTACTTCCTTGACTGGGAGTGCCTTGGCAAGGTTAGGGTCAAGGTTTGCTCTGTGGCCCAGCATTGTCAACCTCAGTGGATGGCTGAGTTGATTGCTTTAGACTTTGAAGGAGCTGACTTGTGTGTAGCTGACAGAGATGTGAATGCCTCAGCTTTGTGTTGTTTTTAAGATTGATGGCGTGAGTGTGTTCATCAAAGGAAATTTGCCTGAACCTGTTGAAAGGTTTTCAGGACAGTGTTGGGACTCTAGCCAGACTCTGGCTGCAGACACGGTGTTGGGTTCCAATTTGGCAACGTGGGAAAAGGGAAGGAATTCCTTGCGTCTCTGCTGACCCTCAGCTTGCTGCGCGTTGCCTGTCACATGGATGGGGGTAGTGCTCAGGAGCTGAGTCCGGGTGTTTCATGAGTTTTGTATACTACTCACCTGTTAATGGCAATTAGGGACCTCTCTTGTCCTCCTGGTGTGGACAATTGGGAGTCTAATGTGGAACGATTGGGGCTTTCCCAAGCTGAGTCCTTTGGTCCCTAAATGACCACTGTGGCCACTCACCTGACATGACCTCTTCCTTCATTTTCTCTGTTCTTTTGCTTAGTTTTGGTTTTGGTTTTAGATCCCTCTGCCTCCTGAGTGCTGGGATAAAGGCATACAGCCACGATGCCTTAATAAACCCTATTGAGGTGCTAGACTAGGGGTCCCTTGCTAATAAGTTTTTTATGATTTATGTATTTTTATTGTATGTATATTAGTGTTCTGCCTGCATGTCTGTGTGAGAGTATCAGAACTGGAACTATATGGTTGTGAGCTGCCATGTGGGTGCTGGGAATTGAACCTGGGTCTTTTGGAAGAGCATCTTAACCTCTGAGCCATCTCTCCAGCTCCGCCAGTAAGTCTTTACACAAAGATTCCATAAAGCTGAGGGTGGTGGGCATGAGACCATCAGCTGTGCTCAGGTGGAGGCCTTCCTACACTTAGGCAGAAGCCTAGAGGTGAAGAAGGGTGAGCTGGTGTGTGTGTGTGTGTGTGTGTGTGTGTGTGTGTGTGTGTAAGCCAGAACAGGCCACATCCCACACCTCAGAGGGGAAGACAGAAAGGCGGGTACAGCAGAGAGATGGCCGGTGGAAGGGCTAGGAGGCAAGGAAAACTAGATTTTATTCTCAAGGCCAGAAGGAAGCCAGGGAGGCAGAGGACTGCCAGAATTCAGCGAGCCTCTCAGAGACCCTTGAATGGTTGAGGGCTGGCCACATGCTGGGTGTGGGTGGGATGAGGGCTGTGAAGATGGGAATCTCCATGGCCCAGCTCCCAACATGAAGCTGAACCCCTGTTATGCATATCCGTGTACATGCTTTCACATTTATGGGCATGTGAGCGCATGAGTCGACGTCAGGATCCTTCGGTCCCTGTCTCTCGCTGAACCCAGAGCTCACAGCTTTTCCACAGGTTCTGCAGACACTAGTGTTCATGCTTGCTCTACTACCCAGGCTTGGCTCTGTGCTCTTGGCCCTTACAGTTAGGTACTCTTGCTGTGCCATCAAGAAACAAGACTCTGTGCCTCTAGAGGGCAGAGGGGCTGCTGTCCCCTGGGGAAGCAGCACAGACCCAGATATGAGACATGGACAAGGAGAATTCTGGGCTACGTCCAGGCCTTCCCTTTTATGGGCTTTTCTCCATACCTACAAGCCAGTGATGGAAACTTAGCTTTTGGCTCTTATTGCTTATGAGCATAACTGTCTCTATTTTTCTTTGAGACAAGATCTCACTATATAGCTCAGACTAGCCTTGAACTCGTGATCCTCTTGACTCCTCTCTCTTCCCCTTTATTTTTTTATATTTTTTTTGGACAGGGTTTTATTATGTAAGCCTGGTTGGCCTAGAACTCAGGTTAGGATGGCCTCAAACTGCCTCAGCCTCCCAAGTGCTGGGGTTACAGGTGTGTGCCACCATACTGGACTTGTTACAATTTGTTTTTTATTATTTTTTTTCAGTGCTAGGGAGAAACCCAGGGCTTCACAGGCTTTACCACTTAGCTACAGATTTAACTCACCCTAGTTTATTCTGAATTTAGAAAAATTCCAAAAGAAACAGTAAGAGGGCTAAAAGCTGGGACTCGTAGCCTCAAAAAAATGTGTCACAAAAAGAGTCCCCTTGCCTGTCACCGCCACTTCTGCCCTTCTCATGACCTGGTTTCCCTCCCTGACATCTGTTGGCTTATTTAGTCTCAGTGTCTCATGAAGGTCCTGTTGGGCATGGGCTGGCTTTTCCGTGGCTTTGTGGGAGAGCCGTGGACCAGCCCTGTTCTCACTAGGTGATAGGAAGGGCCTCTGGGGTGGCCCAGCTTTTTCCCAGCTTTGTTCTCTCAGCCTTCCACATTCCTCTAACCCACGAGGACAGGATAACCGTAGTCTCAGACTCTGGCTCCATTTGAGCCCAGTCTCTCAAGACACACAGCTGCTCCGCAGTCCCACCTACTGTCCTGTGGAATATGGAGTCGGAGTCGTGAGAGGGCACTTCGGTGCCACTGAAGCCGGTGGCAAGTACACAGGCTGTCTGTCCACAGGAGGCTGCTGCTGCTGCTGTGACCTCCGAAAGAGGGCCCAATGGTACTCACTGTGTCCAGCCTCTGGCTTGCTCTGTGGCTTAGCCGACCTCTCACCCACATCTCCCCTGCTGGGCTGAGATGCTGCTTCCTGTTGCCGGATAGACTAAGGATGGGAGAGAGGCTGGTGCAGGTACCCGCAGGAGGGCTGGCCGGGTCAGCAGCACAGAGGGGAGGGGTTCAGCCACCAGCCTGAGAAAGAACTGCTAGTGAACTAGAGAGTAACTCCTGCCATGTGCCTCTTTGTTCCCTCGGCACCATCAGGGAGATCTTCTGGAGTTCCTCACTCTCTTTGTTTGCCTGGGGTAAGGGAAGGACTCTGACCCCGGAGAAGCCAAAGGGGAGCCCTGAGTGGGGTCACAGAACTCGCTTGCCTCCTCTGCCTTCTCTGTTAAGATTTTGTTTGTGAGCCTTCTGAGTGGGGCCAACAGTACAGGGTATTGTTCTCTATTCCCGGCCCTGGCAGCCCTAGCCCTGTTCTCAGCACACTCTGGCACACCAGTTTCTTGCCTTTCTTCTCGTTAGCCCTTCCTGACTGTGCTAGCCCGGGCTGCTCTGTCCACCCCACGGTGGAAGCACCTGTTTAATAGCAGGTGCAGGCAGGACCCAAACGGCTGGCCTGAGCTAGGTTGGTGATGACTGCTCTCTAGACTGAGCAGGGGACACCTTGGGGCTGGACACTACCTATGTACATATCTGTTTGTCCCTTTCCTGGCTTTCTATGGCCAGGTGGGAGAAGATAAAACTGGAACAGCCTGGGTATGACTGGGCAGCTGCTGGAACCAAGATGATATGTGCGGGCTGTTTACTGCTAACAGAACTCTAGACTCTATGACGGTTCAGGTCCCTCTCCATGTAAGGACACTCAAGTTGCTCCCCAGACACAGAAAAGAGGCCGTTTGGCCCCCCCCAAATACTCAGATAATCTGCGGATAGACATCACTTTCGGAAGGAGGTGAGCAGAGAGGCCTGGTGGCCTCATTGGCCGGGATTTAAGAACAGATATGGGTGGCTTGACGTATTGATCCCTGCTCCAGCATGAAGGAAGGATAGGATACTTGTGTTTCAGCCCCTTCTCTGGGTCTAGTTGTGGACTGAACAGATCATCAAATGACTATAGACTTCATCCTCGTGTGCTTGCTTCTGCCATATCAGGAGACTGAAAAGGCCTTTGGATTTAAACTCTTTTAATTACTTTTAGTTGTGTCTGTGTGTCCATGTTTGTGTGTGAGCAGCGGTGTGCATGTTGCAGGTGTTGGTTCCTTACTTCGACCTTCCTTTGCTTCAAGTCCCGGGGATTGGACTCAAGTTGTAAGACTTGGTGACAAGCGCCTTTACCTGCTCAGCTACCTCACTGGCCCATTTTAGGATTAAAAAAGGTTATTAAGTCATTTTATTTTTTGTGTTCAAATGTTTTGCCTGAATGTGTTTTTATGTACCACATGTGTGCCTGGTCCGCTGGAGACCAGAAGAAAGCACTGGCTCCTCTGAAGCTCTCATTTCAGGGGTGGTGAGCCAACATGTGGGTGCTGGGATCTGAATCTAAGTCCTCTGCAAGAGCAGCCAGTGCTCTTAACCACTGAGCCATCTCTCCAGCTCGTAGTATTTTATTTTCACTATATACTGCAGTGCTAAGAACTGAACCCAGGACCTGGTGCTGTACCACGGAGCTACATCCCCAACCAGTGTTTTGGAAGTTTGTCTTCTGTCTCTTTATAAGAAGAGTCAGGGAGAGCTGGGTGAAATTGGCTCATGCCTTTAATCCCAGCATTCAGGCAGAGGTAGGTGGATCTCTATGAACTTAAGGCCAGCTTGGTCTACAAAGTGAGTTCCAGGACAGCCAGGACTATATAGAGAAGCCCTGTCTCAAAATAAACAACAAAGAACCACGGAAGCCAGGCAGTGGTAAAATCTTCTAATCCCAGCACTCAGGGGGCAAATGCAGGCAGATCACTGAGTTCTAGGCCAGTGGTCTACAAAGTGAGTTCCGGGACAGCCAGGGCTACTTAGAGAAAACTTGTCTCAAACAAACAAACAAACAAACAAAAAAAGAGTCCTCTTTGGAGGACTCTGGGGGAGTGCCTCAATTGGCTGTGCAGTTTTACCCCCACCCCACATTTCTCCTTTCTCCCCTGTTCTGTGTCGCCAGAGAGCCCATGGCACTTAAAGTTCTTGGGTGCAAGTAACTGGCTCCAGACCCTGGGTGGCCACAGTCAGGTCTCAGGCTGGAGTGCCCTCCCCCACCTGTCCACGCTATCTCATCTTTGCTGGCTCTCGTACCTGCATGATTGCCTAGAAATGCTCATTCCTGGGTGGAGGCCCGGTCCCCATACTGCAGGTCCAGTTCCTGTTCTGCTGGCAGGGCTGACACCTGAAACTCTTTTCCTTCCAGAAGCCGCCTCACACCTGCCAGCCACAGCAACACATGGGACCAATGGGCTCAGCGAATGGTGTTTGCCTTGTGTTGTGGCTGCTAGTGTGGAAGATGTCCTGGCAAGGGTTGGAAGTGTGGCCTGAAAGGTTTTGTTTGTGTGGGTTCAGGCTGTTAACCTGTGGCTCTCATCTCCCTAAATCCCTCTGTCTTCAGCTTGGCTCTGCGAGTGCTCTTTCCTTTCCTCTCTTAATCCCTTTGGCCACTGGGATGTGCTTCATTGTTTCCAGTCATTCAGTAAACAGCAACTGTGGCAAGGGCCCACTGCCATAATGCAACACAGTAGCCAGTTTCTAGCCTCAGACTCAGCCCAGTGGGCGACTAACTACAGTCACGCGCTCACGTGTTGATATAGCGCCGTGTTCCCTGCCACTCTGAGACGCTGCGGTCCTGTTAAATCACCTCCATCCTGAGCCCCTGTACAACTGACACTAGCAATAACAGTAGTTATTCACCAAACGCTTCGTATGCCCGTTGGGAGCTCTCGACTGCTATCTGGTTTTTCTCATGATCCTCCCCAAGGCTCTAGTGGTATATACTATTCATTATATTGTGTCTAGTTCACGGGTAAGTGAACCAACAGCAAGATCAAGTCCCATTTCTAAGGCAGCAGGAAGCAGGGGAAGGCAAGTTCTGTCATCATAGTCTCTACATGCCCCTAGCAGGGCTTTTTGCTCAGAGGCTGGCATGTGCCATTAGTCACCCCAAATGCTTTCTTTTCAGTTACCTTGGGTGGCTCTTAGAGGCCCAGCAGCAGGTTTTCTAGTCCTCGGCTGAGCAACCCCCACTTCTCCTACCCCTCGCAGCCAGAGGGCTGCACCTGGGAGGCACACAGTTAAGTTCCCTTGTCTCGTTGTTGGAGCCTCAGAGCTAATCAGCGGCTTGTTTCTGCAGGATTAGTCAGCATCACTGATGGAGAGTGCCCCAGTCCTATTCCCCACTTGTCCCCATCCTCCCTCCAGCTGGTGCAGCTCTTCTCCCTTCCTTTTCTGGGTTGTTTTGAATCTGGTTGAACTTTGGAGGGGGCACTCATGTGTGCAAGTGTGGCTCACACAGCAGGCTCTGGATGTGGTCGTGGGAGGAGGTGACCATCAACACAATAGCTCCAGTAAGAGAAGGAAAAATGGTGCGTCTTGCTGGGTGGTGGTGGCGCACACCTTTAATCCCAGTACTCAGGAGGCAGAAGCAGGCAGATCTCTGTGAGTTCGAGGCCAGCCTGGTCTACAGAGTGAGTTCTAGGACAAGCAGGTGCCTTTACCTGCTGAGCCATTCTGTCGCACCACCAACTCTCCCATTGGACACTGGGTTTCATGTAGCCTAGGCTGCCCTCAGACTCATTATCTGTGGATGACTTTGAGCCCCTGATCCTCCTGCTTAGATAACAGGAATTCACTATCATTCTAGAGTGGGAATTCTTATCTGGGACACTGGTGAGTGTCAAGGGACACATGAAGCCCTTGAAGTTGTGAGCAAGACTTTATGGTTTTTTAAATTGGATTCTTGACTGCTCTGTGATTCTACAAATGTTGTAAACACCTGCATTATTGCTGCAGGGGTCTGGGCGGCAGAGCCATGTCTTGTCAGTTGCCGGAGCCTTAAGGCTCTCAGAACGAGCTTTGGCTTTCTTAGTGGCATAATTCTGAAGGAGCATCTGTCTCTTGGGTCTTCACGAATACCTACCATATCTTCCTTCTTTGTACACACAGAGAATGTCACCAATGGCACAGTCGGGAGCACTGCAGAGCCAGAGCTCGAGGAGGTGAGCCTGGTGAACGGCTGGCTCAGCTGCAAGGCCCAAGATGAGATTCTAAATTTGGCATTCACTGTGGGTTCCTTCCTGCTCAGTGCCATCACCCTGCCTCTGGGCATCATCATGGACAAGTATGGTCCAAGGAATCTCAGGCTACTGGGCAGGTCAGTATGGGTTCCTTGGGGGAAGGATGAGGATAAGTGGTCCCCTGAGCTGCATCCCCTGCTGTAGGGAATCTCAGAATGTGCTAGCAGGTGCTCCATAGGGCTCCCTCAACACCCTGGGGCAGGGTTCCTTCTCTGTGTGGCCTTTCCCTGTGTTCTGCATGCAAGCCCCACAACTCAGGCCCATCTGGGATGACCTGAACTTGCTGGTCTTGTCTTTAACATTAGTTTTTGGGGCCATCAGGATGGCTCTTCAGGTAAAGATACTTGCCACCAAGCCTGATGACCTTATTTCCACCCTTAGAACCTAGAAGCTAGAGAACTGACTCCTGCAGGTTGCCCCTGACCTCTCTACTCTGTACCACTATACACGGAATGCACGCACCAACTTGTGTGTCTATACGTGCCAGAGTAAAATAAGTAGAGAAGAACATTGGTTTCCAAGGATTTGTGGCCTTATACTTCCTCCAGGAATGTGGGAGTGATTTTTTTCTAATCTGTTGCTTTTATTGGTTAATGAAAAAATGGCCTAGGCCCATTTGATAGGCCAACCCTTAGTTGGGTGGAGTAAACAGAACAGAATTCTGGGAGAAAGAAGCTGAGTCAGGGAGTCGCCATGATTCTCCCACTCCAGACAGACGCAGGTTAAGATCTTTCCTGGTGCTACACAGAATATTAGAAATGGGTTAGATCAATATGTAAGAGCTAGCCAATAAGAGGCTGGAACTAATGGGCTAGGCAGTGTTCAAAAGAATACAGTTTCTATGTAATTATTTCGGGGCATATGCTAGCCGTGCGGGTGGCCGGTGCTGGGGGATGCAGCCCCGCCGCTCCTATTACAACACAGGAAGAAAAAAGTTTTTGAACATCTATAAATATATGCAAATGTAGATTAGGTATATAGGTAGTGTGTGTGTGTGTGTGTGTGTGTGTGTGTGTGTAGGAGGGGTGAGAGGTGCTGCCCATTAAACTCTGCATAATGTATGCTGGACAAGTGTTTTACAACTGAGTTATAGTCCACATATGCCATTCTTAGTACTGTGTGCTTTAAATGTTGTGGATGGGGCTCAGTGGTAGAGTGCTTGCCCAACATGTGCATGGCCCTGGGTTTTACCCCAGCACCAAAAAAATAATAAGAATAAAGTCAATCGATTAATTAAAATGAATAAAGTTTTTTGTTTTGTTTGTTTTTTGTTTTGTTTGTGTGTTTTTTGAGACAGGGTTTCTCTGTAGTTTTGGAGCCTTAGAACTAGCTCTTGTAGACTAGGCTGGCTTCGAATTCACAGAGATCCTCCTGCCTCTGCCTCCTGAGTGCTGGGATTAAAGGAATGCATCACCACCACCCTGCAAAATGAATGAAATTGTAACAATTATGAAGTGAGGCTGAGGCTGCAGCTCAGAGGTGAAGCACTTGTGTAACACAGAAGACCCCGGGTTCAAGTCTTAGCCCTGAAAACAACTCCCAAGAGACCATTATCCTCCTGGATCATCCTGCATGCCTCACAAGGCGCATTCCCTGGTCTCCTAGATCTGTTAAGTGGTGATTATAAATGTTCTGAAGTGACACATAGTAAATTACTGCCCCCCATAACCATCTAGTAACAGCACTTGATAACATAGTATCAACAGAACACTTTCTGTTTGGTTTCAGTGCCTGCTTTGCGGTCTCCTGCTTGCTGATTGCATATGGAGCGAGTAACCCAGACTGTGAGTATGCCTTTTCTTTTATGCCAGAAGCTGGGGGAAGCGCCATCATCCACAGGTGCTCACTGGCCCACCTGCTCTTGGATGCTATCTTAGGCTTGGTGCTCCCTGTTCAAGCCAGAAGGGATACCTCTTAGCTGACTGCTCACTTACCTCATGGGTGGCCAGGGCAGCTTTCTGATTGGTGGTCTATTGCCTAGGACTTAGCTCTTTCAAATGTGTTGCTAGTGAGAGAATAATCACCCCACGCAGAAGTGTAAGAGGTGTTCTCAGGGTGTGTGCGGCTCCTGTCTGATCCCCAAGCCACCAACCCAGTCCATGGTGGTAGCCTCGCTGATGCCACTTGGAAGACAAGCTTTGTGGACCAGGCCCGGTACAGGACATGGCCTTCCATGGTTCAGAAATGGTAGCTGAGCCCTCTCCTCGTCTTCCTCTTCTTTGTTTCAGTCCTGTGGATTGAACCCAGGGCTTGTAAATGTCAGGCAAGCTCTCTGCCATCGAGCAACATCCCAGCTCTTGGACGCTTGAGACGGAGGTAGTCCAAGCTTGCCCCAAACGTAGTCCTCCTGGCTCAGCCCGAAGGCTGGGATTATAGGCATGGTACACCACACCCAGCTGAGCCTAGGCCTCAGGGCAGCCTAGGCCAGCCCTTGAAAAACAACTTAGGAAACACCTGGATCCCATCTCCAGTGGAGAACTTTAAGGGCTTTTCGCACAACTCCAAACTAGGACCGGGATCTCAGTAACCTCCTAGCCAGGCTCACCTGCAGATTCCCAGGAACCTGGGGTTTTATTGTCTGTGAGCAGATTTTTGGGGTCATTTGATTGAGTCTAGGTCAACAGAAAAGAGAGTGGGCACACGTCTTTTGCTAGAACTCAAGGTCCCTGAGGTAGGCAAGAGGACGGAGGGAGTGCTATCCAGGCGTCGCTAACCCTTGATGGCCTGGCCTTTATTTTTAGCTCATCTGTAGCCTTCTCAGTATGGAACGCTGTGCTCCTGTGCTCCCCCAATTATGGCTTTCTGTCTGTCCACAGCGCTGTCTGTGCTCATCTTCATCGCCTTGGCTCTGAATGGCTTTGGGGGGATGTGCATGACGTTCACTTCATTAACCGTAAGTATTGGTTTGTTAAGGAACGTTTCCAGCTGGGGAAGTGCGGGATTCGGGCATATTGGTTGGCTTCCGGGTCCTTTCTTTCCATTCCCCTTTATACTTGGATGGCCCAAGCAGTGTTGGGCTGGGGTTTCTCTAGCCTGACAGCAAAGCCAGTCCCATAGGTTCTAAAGCAGACAGGTGTGACTCCCAGGGTGACTTGCAGCTGCTTCTGGGCTTGCCTTTGGTATGGGGGAACGCAGGTTTCTGTCAGAGAAGAGCCGGGAAAACGCGTTGCCCGCGTTGTTTCTTATCATCAGTGGCTGCCATCCCGAGGCTCTCCAGGAACTCTGGCTTACAGTGCCATTTGTAGACAGCCTGTCCTGGAACCACCCAGCCCCAACCTTTGCAGGTGCCTGGAACTGAGTGGCAACATTGTGACACTCTTCCCTGCTAGGACACAGATGTCTGGCCAGATAGGTGAAACTGTTTCTTGGAATGTGGAGCATGTTCTTGGCAGGACCACCAGGACACCACAAAACAGGTTTCTTTTTAAGGAGGGCTGGAGGAGGAGCTGAAGGAAGTTAAAGAAGGAATAGAAATATCTTTCCCTAAGGGAAGACCGCAGACTTACACCGACAGGCTTCTATCAAAGGAACATTTCCCGACTCAGTTTACCTCTGAAGCCTTATAAACCATGACTGTTTAAGTCTGGTTCTGTTTCCCATTATGCTCTTATCAGGAGTCAAGCTGTTAAGAGGCCTTTTGTTGAGGTTTTGCTCCGAGAGTGCTGGGACCTTTCTGGTCCTTTGATAAAAGAGCCTGCAGAGATACTGGCATCTTGGTTACCAGTCTGCAGGCCTACATCTTCTCTGCTCCCTTTTCCTATGCTTTCCCTGGTAGGGAGGATTAACCATCTGGGCCTTTGTCCCTGGACAGGGAAAGTTCACCGCAGTCTCTTCAGGAAAGGAGGCCCGGTGTAGGCAGCATGTGTATTGAGCCCTGGGTGTGGGAGTCTGAGGGTGAGCGGCACACTCACCTGGGGGATCAGTTGCTTCACCTGCTGGAGCCCTCAAGGTGTACTTTGGATCTGTCGGGGCATTTTTATTTTTTATTTATTTTTTTAATCAGATACATTTAAAACCAAAATAGATATTGTCTCCCACGTATGTCATAATCCCAGAGGAAAACAGATGTTGAAACAGGGAGAAGTGTGTTCGCACTGTGAAAAGTACACAGATTCCACTAGGTTGTGTAAGTGTGAAACAGGAGTCAGGCATGGTTCTGTTTGTTCTTGGACAGCATGGAAACCACCAACCCTTTTTTTTTTTTTTATCAAGATGAAAAACAAAAACCTGGAGTCGCGCCGGGCGGTGGTGGCGCACGCCTTTAATCCCAGCACTCGGGAGGCAGAGGCAGTCGGATCTCTGTGAGTTTGAGGCCAGCCTGGTCTACAAGGGCCAGTTCCAGGACAGGCTCCAAAACCACAGAGAAACCCTGTCTCGAAAAAACAAAACAAAACAAAAAAAAACCTGGTGTCGCCCTTATTATTTTTGTCACGTTGGGCATCTGGTAGGGCAGATCTGAATTTCAGGATATAAATTGGAGATGGTCCTGGGACTTGCGGAGCTTGGCTTAAGTGCAGAGCAATGCTTAGTCACCATGAAGCAAGGGGTAGACGTGGGCCGGGCGCAGCTCAGTAGCAGAGGCTTCTCCAGCGTCACAGGACTCTGGGTACCAACCCCAGCACGGCGCCTATAAAAAGAGAAGAGCTGGGTGGTGTGGTCCATACTGCAACCGAGCACTCAGGAGGCAGGGGATAATTGCTGTGATTTTAAAGCCATCTTGGGCTACAGAATGAGGCCTTGCCTCTGTACCCCTGGAATAATAAAAAGGACAGCTAGACATGATAACATGGTCCTTCAATCCCTGCGCTTAGAAGGATCAGAAATTCAGGGTTATGCTCAATTACATGGAAGTTCAGGGCTACCCTGTCTCAAACAGTAACAACATCCACTCTCAGTTACATAGGAAGTTCAAGGCCACTGTGGGCTCAAGGCTCAAACAGTAACAGCAAAAGACAAACAGAGGAAAAGCATGTGGGGAGTTCCTTCTAAGAAATTCTGTAGGAGCTTTCTGGGGTGACCCACACCTTTAATCCCAGCACTCAGGCAGAGGCTGGAGACTCTTGGTGCATTTGAGGCTAGCTTGATCTACATATTGAGTTCCAGGACAGCCAGGACCAAACAGAGACTCTGTCTTTAAAAAAAAAAAAAAAAAAAATTAAAAAAAGACATCCTGTAGGGCAGAGATACAGTGATATATATGTAATCCTGGTTCTTTGGGAGACTGAAGCCAGCCTGGCCTGTGTCACATAGCAGAACTCTATCACAAAAACAAGTCAAAACAAAAACATACGAGACAGCAGGCAAGCCTTGACTTCTGCCTGTGTCTGCTTTCTTTTTCATTGTTGTCTCTGTAGTTAGCATACAGAATAATAGATTCATGATGACATTTTCACACCAAGCTACCTTCCTGCTTTTTATGTTACCTCTCCCTGTTTCTGCCACTAAAGAAAGCCTGCAGGTAAGAGCTCTTCCCGAGGTCCTGAGTTCAATTCCCAGCAACCACACGGTGGCTCACAGCCACTGGTGCCCTCTTCTGGCCTGCAGGCATACATGCAGACAGAACATTGTACATAATAAGTAAAAAAATTTTTTTTAAAAAGAAAGCCTTTAAAATGAAGTTGGAAGCTGTTGTCCAAGGTACTTTTAAGAAAAAGGAATGAACCCATAAGTATTCTTTTGACTTTTCTTATTTTGTTGTTGTTAAATAAAATTTTTTTTTAATTACTCAGCATTTTGGAAATTTAAATTGTAGGCTGCAAAATTCTCAGTGTCTTATCTTCCTCAGCCTTAGAATTTATTCTTCAGTTTTGTCTGTGCGTCAGTGTTATTCTTCTTGGCTTTCTCGGTTTTCTGTATCTACAGGGTTCATCTTCCAGTTCCCTTCCTGTACCTAGAGCTCTGCATTCTTCCTTTTGTCCCCAGTGGTTGTCCTTGCTATTGTCAGGGTCCATGCTACCCTGTAGTAGAAACGAACTCTAATTCACTTCAGCTAGGTTCCCACTCAGGGATGCTCAAGTTGGTTTCCAGTCCTTCTCTTTGTGAACACTGTTGAAATGAACATCCTGTATGCGTATTTCTGTAAAATAAATTCCAGGAAGTGGAATCTCTAAGCTCCAGGATTAGCATGTTTTAACTTTCAATATACGCTTTTTTTTTTTCCCCCGAGATAAGGTTTCTCTGTAGCTTTGGTGCCTGTCCCGAAACTAGCTCTTGTAAACCAGGCTGGCCTCAAACTCACAGAGATCACCTGCCTCTGCCTCCCGAGTGCTGGGTTTAAAGGTGTGCACCACCACTGCTCGGCTACATCATTCATTTTTATGTTTTCTTTTTTACTTTTATTTGATTTGATTTGTTGTGTATGTTTGTAGACACGTGCACATGAAGCCACATGGAGGTCCGAGGACTTTCTGAGTTGGTTCTCTCCTTGACCATATAGGTTCTGGGGAAGGAGTTTCCTTGGTCTCAAATGCCTTTATACACTGTGCCAGGATCTTGCTGGTCCCCTTTCATCTTTTACTTACTTATTTCATTTTGTTTCTGTAAGTTCTCACTGTGTAGCCGTGACTGGTCTGGAACTTGCTGTGTACACCAGGCTGGCCCACACTCCCAGAGCCTGTTCCTGCTTCCTGTGTGCTAGGGTTAAAGAGGTGCCTCTTTCATCTTTTGAACACAGTGAAAAATGATACATCATAATTAAAGTTTTTTTCTTTAATCAAAATGAGACAAAGCACCAGTGGTTCAGGCAGCTGGATCTCTGTGAGTTCAAGGTCTGGTCTAGGAGAGCTAGTTTCTGGACAGGCACCCAAAGCTACAGAGAAACCTTCTCAAAAAAACAAAACAAAAACAAAACAAAACAAAACAGTGTTTTTAGATTTCTGTATGGTCCGTGATAGGCTCCAGAAAAACTATGTGCTTAGCCCCCAAGCAAACAGTATACATGTTCTACTCAGGGTCATGTCTTGCACAGTGTTGCTTGCTTTCATCATGACTGCGTGAGTGCGTGTGTGCGTGCGTGCGTGTGTGCATGTGTGTGTGCGTGTGTGCACGCTCGCGCTTTCTAGTAACTCCTGGCTCTCCCACCCACTTCACCACTTCAGGTCCCTGGCCAGGCTACATGTGAGTGGGTCCTGTGTAAAGCATTAGGTAGGAGGGATCTGTCCTTTTAAGGGAGGTCTAGGGCTTGTCCTCTGACTTCTTTATCTATAGGGCAGGGGTCAGTGAGCTGCTATCCCAGGCCTAATGCAAACCTCTGCCTGTTTTTATAAACAAGATTTTGCTTGAAACACATCATTTGGGTTTGCTCACGTGTTGCCTGTGGATGCTCTCATGTAACAGAGGCTGTCGGGCTATCGTGACAGAGACCATATGGCCCACAAAGACAGAAATATTTACTGTCTGGCCCTTTATGGAAAGCATTTGCCAGCCTTCAGTCTAGAGTCTCTGAGAAGCTACACTGTCCTCCACCTGAGGGCAGAGGGTCAATACCCCCTAGAGGTCCCCCCGCCCCCCCCCTGATAGGCGGGAGAAGTAGATTGAAGCCATATTAAGGTGTTTAGCTGTTAACTAAAAGTTTATAGGTTTGAATCCTATCAANCCCCCCCCCGCCCCAGTATCTCTGGTTGCTCAGGATAGCTCTCCACCCCTTCCCCCAGGCTGGAGGGCTCCCCTTGGACATCCCCTTGTCCCATGAGGCTTCCCACGGGACCTGATCTCTCATGGGAATAAACACTGAGAGGAATAGGAAGCTGCCGTGGAGGACAGACTGAAGCTGTTAGGCAATGTTCCTGGCTTTCTGCTGAGCAGAGCTGAATCTGCTTGTGACACAGCCCAGGCCTTTTAAAAAGCAGAACTGTCAGGCCCAGCTCCCGGAGACACTGCACTGGCCGCACAATG